TTGAGAGTGGAACAAGAAAGTAACAGTTGCAGAGGCCTTACCATGAATTGAAGAATGCTGAGGCTCAAGAAGACAGTTATGTCTCCTTATCCCAACCCTGCTTCAGTCATTTGAATTAACCAGACTCTTTTCCTAAGATGTAAACATCACTGGGAGGATTAAAAGCAGTGGGTGGAGGGATCAATCATTAACACTTCAGTGTAAATCTATTCTACCTGTCATTGTCTTGACAGAGGTTTATGTATTGTTTTTGGTCCAGAAAGAAGCAATATCTCTGAAGAGGAGAGATGTCAGAAAGGGTCACAGGAAAGACAGAGTTTTGGAAACCATGGAAAATATAAGGTGCAGGAGTTTAGAGGTGGAGACAGAGATGGAAGAAGGTTAATGGATATATAAAACAACCTTTGTCTCCATTTTTTCGGAAGACCTGGCCTAGAAGGTCATGAATGACAAAGTTCCTATAACTTTAAAAATGACCTAGGGTTGATCATGCTGGTAAGGGTGTCAGAAAAGACAGTATTTATCATTTCATGAGGGAATCAACACATACAATGGTTTATGAGATGCTGACATTGCTTTCTCTGAGAGTTAGAAGGTATGAGAATGATAAATGGGAATTCCCTGTGTTGCCACCCTGGGATCAATGCCTATTCTAGTAACTGATATTGATCTGGGAGCTATCCAGCTCCAAAGTCATCTCATTGTTGTCAGATGGTCTGTTTGCCCTGACTTGCTCCAGGACTCCTAGCTGTCATAAGGAATTTAATCAAATATGAGAGGTCAGATTCAAGGGTTGGCTTGGCAAGAAGCCCCAAATAAAGCCAAACTGGATGAATCAGAGAAAGCAGTAATCTTTCAGCCTGATTCCTGAAAAGTCACCCAGGGGCTTGCCATTTTAAATTCTGCATTAGTCTTCAGACAGCCTCAAAAACAAAGTATTAAAATTGACTTTAGATCAAATATACTTTAATAATATTTTTCTTTTTTAATTTTTTAATGTTTTTTTTTAATTTATTTTTGAGAGTGAGAGTGAGTGGAGGGACAGAGAGCGAGGGGAACAGATCTGAAGCCGGCTCCACGCTGACAGCCGCAAGCCTGAAGTAGGGCTTGAACTCACAAACTGCTAGATCTGGACCTGAGCAGATGTTGGATGTTGAATCAACTGAGCCACCCAGGTACCTCCTTAATAAGTTTTTTCTTAAAGGATGGAGGGAAGGTAAAGGAAAAATGGCTCTGGGTGCCTATAAATAAAGGCAAAGTTTAATAAATAGTTGACCAAAGTATGACTACTAGATAATCCAAACATATTTATTACATTTGATAAGCATTTGAAATCCAAGTTGTAATGAAACTGAATTATTGCTTTTGCTTTTAAATTTGAAATAAAAATAAATTTTATATTTTTTACATTTTGTTTGTTACATTGTTCATATGAAAAAAGTTTTTTTATTAATAGCAAGTTATATTAATGATAAAAACTGAAATATGGAAAATTAAACAAAACTAAATATGCAAATTACACAGAAAGAAACTGATTTGTTGATATATTTTATGTCAACTTGCTTAACATATCCCATTAAACTTTTTGGTGTCATAATCCTAAAATTTTATAATTTTGAGGGCCAAGGGCACAAAGTTACATGTAGTTTATACTTACAAGTGGGAAAGAAAGAATACTAAAAAAACCCCAAAAGATTATTCATACTTTGATTACTAATTTGATCTTACAACAAAACCTAACAAGTGAACTTAGCCTAACTTAACCTAATTTCATCAAACTGAATCTAATGCTTATATATTCTGTATATAATGTTTTCACAAGACAATACAATGCATGATTAGTTTTAGGACTTTAGATCACAAAGAAAAACTAATGCTATTTTTGAAAATTTATTTTCATTATTGTTCTATTGTTTTAGCATTTTATTAAATTGGTTCCTAACCCAGGCTCAGATTGGTCATTTTTATCCTAGTAAGGAAACAGATTTTACAAAAGAAACTAGGCAATTTACTGTACATCAAGCCTGGTATTGTTTTTAGTTTATTTCTTTATTTAATATAGACTAAAATTAAGTCAGGATTTGGTATTGGAGCATCCAAAAATTCTGTTCTGGGCTTGTATACTTTTGATTTGCAGAATCAGAATGAAGACATTCTCCTCATTCAGTAAGTTCTATAGAGTTGTTGGAGAATGTTACACAAGCAAATGTTAATACCAGAAGGAAAAAATAACAATTTGTAATTAACCAATTGGTATAAAAATGTTGGATGGTTTCCATTAGTGGTAGGGATTTATACATTTATGGTAACATTTGATTTAAGGGATTAATGTAAAGGTAAGTTGGTGAAAGGGCGGGTGAAATAGGTGATGGGTATTAAGTAGTGATGTATGGAATGGTTGAATCACGGTATTGTACACCTGAAACTAATGTAGCACTGTATGTTTACTATAACAGAATTAAAATAAAATATGAAGGATTCATGTAAACAATTTACATTATGCTCATGTTTTAAACTTAAAAATCAGTATTTTTAAATCTATATAACACCAGAAAGAAAAACAAAGGTAAATGAGAGTTTTAAGAATTTGATTATCATTTGGGGTGCCTAGGTGACAGAGTCAATTAAGTGTCCGACTACAGCTCAGGTCATGATTTCACAGTTCCTGTGCTCGAGCCCTGTGTCTGGCTCTGTACTGACAGCTCAGAGCCTGGAGTCTGCTTGGGATTCTGTATCTCTCTCTCTCTCTCTCTCTCTTTCTCTCTCAAAAATAAATAAACATTTAAAAAATAAAAAAGAATTTGAGTATCATTTAAAATAATTATTTTTTCTATTATCGTTTTATGGTGTGTTTTTTTTCTTTTTTTTTCAAATCACTTCCTGGCACATCCATTATTCCTGGAAGTTTTACTTTAAAAGTCTTAGCATTTTTAAATTACCATATCATCCAAATATTTTAAAGTTTGATCAATACACATTTTAAGAATATTTCTATTGTTTCTCAGTGTTTAATTGTGTGTGTGTGTGTGTGTGTGTGTGTGTGTAGAATGTAGATGAGGGAATATATTTTCATTCTTTCTGACATGAGCACAAATGTAGCACCTTTCAAATTATACTGTGCTCAGAAGCTCCATTTACATGTCTTAATATGCTTAAATCTACATTTCATCCAATAAATAGTAAAAGGTTTTAAAGATTATTTTGTTTCTTTTATTGTTTAAGGGTGTTACAAAAAAAATGTTTTCTCTTCTTTTGTATATATGTAAATATTTATTTTGATTGCTCCTGAACTAACACCAGTTTAGCAGCTTCCTAACTGCATTTTGATCCAAAGCATCATATGAAAATCATGGTATTGGGGCGCCTGGGTGGCGCAGTCGGTTAAGCGTCCGACTTCAGCCAGGTCACGATCTCGCGGTCCGTGAGTTCGAGCCCCGCGTCGGGCTCTGGGCTGATGGCTCAGAGCCTGGAGCCTGTTTCTGATTCTGTCTCTCCCTCTCTCTCTGCCCCTCCCCCGTTCATGCTCTGTCTCTCTCTGTCCCAAAAATAAATAAATGTTGAAAAAAATTGAAAAGAAAAGAAAATCATGGTATTTTGCAAGTTTTAAAAATCCTTAAGAAAATGCAAATTCTAAATTCTTGTGTGTTTTGTTTTGTTTTGTTTTGTAAGCGATTGTTTTATGGGGTTCCCCCCCCAATATGGTCATGACCTGGGCACAAATTTAGCAGATTTCTACCTGTATTGTACTCTGAAATTGCACACAAATGATATGATACTTTTAAATTTACAGAACCTCCAAAAATAAATAAAATACAAATGCAAGTGCTAGGGATTATTTTCTATTGTTTTGTTTTGCAGTTTTTCTGAGTTTTATTGTATTGGTTTAGTTTGGTTTATGAATTTATTTTCAATATGCTCCTGATCTGGCCACAAACTCTAGCAGCAACCTGGCTGCATTGTGCTCCAAAATTTAACATGAAAGAATAAGTTATTTAAAGTTACAGATCTCCTCTCCCCCCCAAAAAATTTATTAATGAAAATTTTAAGCAAGATTTTAAAATGTGCTTTATGATTTTATTTTGTGTTATTATTTTGTTGTTAATTTTTTCAATTTGCTCCTGACCTGGGAATAAATGCATTGTGCTCCAAAACATCATACGAAGAATATTATATAGTATCAGTCTCTCAAAAGAAAGATAATTAAAAATTCTAAGAAAAAAATGTTGGTGTTGCTAGTTTTTTTAATGGACATTTGTTGTTTTATGTGATTTTTTATTCTGTAATTGTTTTGAGCACAGCTTTCCGGATTTGAAATTTCATATGAAAATCTTAATGTAGTGTAAAAAAAAGGAAGATTAAAAAAAACTGACACTGCTGGTGATTACAATTGTGTAAATCCAGATAATTTTGTTTCTTCCCATCCATATTTATGCAAACACAATTTATGTTTCTGTTTTCAAAACATATACAATGAAATTTGTCAGTTCTTTTAAATTGGATACACTTCTTACCAATAATGTTAGGCTACAATATGTTCTTATGCTAAAAATATACTCTATAATAATACAAAAAAAGGAAAAAAAAGAGTAACATGCATCAGTAGTAACACAAAAGTTTTTTTTTAAATAATCCCTGAATTTGTTCTATATTTATAGGCCCAACCTAATTAACAAATATTACCAGAGTGGAAATATCTTTCTAAAAAATTTACGATAATCTTTATATCACTGAAGCAAAGGCCACTGGCCACTTGTATAATGTGACACAATGAAATTATAACCCAGCAGAAGAGTTTGGCAATCTCTTTTGGTTGTTGTAATTAGACCTGACCTATAATTATTGAACAAAACAGCATATGCACAATAAACATTCAAATAAATGTACCTGACTGTATTCAGTACATTAATCTATTTTCAGTTATCACTAGCTTCAAATTGTTTCTCTTATGCATAGCATAGGAAAAATCCTAGGAAAAACCATATCTGGACAGTTCTCATTACCTAAAAGGTGGATTCTAGCATTAATTCACCACCATTATGTGTTGTTTGATCACTAACTTCCTCTTGAATAGCTGGAAGGGAAGGCTTTGTCGTCAAAGGTATTTCAGTCTTAAACAGGGATTCCATCTTGATATGGGTATTAACATAGAAGGACTTCTGAAAAGACTCCAGGGTGAAGTAATAGATAAAAGGGTCAAAGCAACAGTTCAGAGTTGCAAGGCACAAGGTGATTGGGTACATAATCTTTGCAAATCTTTCCAACAAGCAATTGGTAATGGCTTGGGAGCGCACTAGGGCATACAGGAAGAGGACAGAGTTATAGGGTACGAAGCATACCACAAAGACTGCCATATGAACTGTGATCATCTTCAGCACTTTTTTCTTATTGGTTCCAATTTGAGACAGTGTAGCAGGCTTGCGGAGTGTTCTTAGCACCACAGAAGAGCAAGAGACATTTAAAATCAGAGGAATGATGAAACCAACAACTTCAATAAATATGGTGATCTTGGACAGATAAGTCTTCCAGATACGTTTGGAGAAGCCCTCAAAACAGGTGGTGGTTGCATTGTTGACATTAGTAGTGGAGAACAAAGAGGCTGAAATACCACCACTGAGGACTAGGATCCAGACTCCAGCACACACAAAGGCAGAATTCCTCCTTGTCCTAATGGTACGAGATCGGAAGGGATAGACAATGGCCAGGAAACGATCCACGCTAATACAGGTGAGGAAGAGCATGCTCCCATAGATGTTGGTGAGGAATGCAGTCCCAGAGATCTTGCAAAGGGTGTCACCAAAAGGCCAGTGACGGTTGAAATTGTAAAATATTTTGAAAGGTAGAGTGCAGACAAAGAGCAAATCAGAAAGGGCCAAATTGGTGATGAAAATAGCAGTCTCACTTCTCATTTTCATTCGGAAGCAGAAGACAAACAGAGAGGCACTGTTGGTTATCAGACCCAGGATGAATACAACACTGTAGACAGCACCATTCAGATTATACTTGAAGGAATCATCAACAATGCAAGTATTATTGGCAGTAGCATTGCCCAACCTGGGTCTGAAGCTTGAATTTAAATCTTGAAATTGAAAGTCAATGAATCTTCTGTCACCCATGGATTTTTTTCAGAAGGCCTGCTGCCTGCAGGGTTCACCACTTTGAGACTAGAGACTGGTAAGAAATATTTTCCTCCTATGGGAGACAAGATGGAATGAATAATCAAATCTGCCTTCCATTCATTTCTGTGGAGTAAAAGATATTTTGTTCACCCAGACTGGAAACAATATACACATTCAATTTGGTTTGACAAGTACCTTTTGAGAACCTACAATATGTTAAAAGGTACTACAGGAATATGTTGCAAGATTGGGAGAGATCACACACAATATAACAAATGCAGTACTGTATGCAGCATTGCAATGAACAGAAATAAGATATTGTATACATGAGAGCCCAAGCAGGGATGGGGGATGGAGGTGGGGAAACAGGCCTTTGATAATTAAAACAACACTAATAGTTTGAAATTTTTATGGAATTTTTTAACTTTCAAAAATGTGTTTTATTTGATTCCCACAAGAACATCATAAGGTAGGAAGACAAGAATTTATCACCATATTATAGAAGAAGAAACTGAGGCTTATGTAATTTAGAATTATGATGTCTGAATTAGGAGAATGTGTAAATGGTACCATCAGAACCAGAATTCACCTTTTTTATTCATAACCAAAGAATTTTTAAACTAATCTAAATTATTTTGTTTCTTTTCTAATATTAGTAAACCTTATTGTCTAATTATTAGTTCTATTGCACAAGACTATAGGTCGATATTGGACCTCCAGGACATGCCCTTAAAAAAGTTTTAACTATGGGGCGCCTGGGTGGCGCAGTCGGTTAAGCGTCCGACTTCAGCCAGGTCACGATCTCGCGGTCCGTGAGTTCGAGCCCCGCGTCGGGCTCTGGGCTGATGGCTCGGAGCCTGGAGCCTGTTTCCGATTCTGTGTCTCCCTCTCTCTCTGCCCCTCCCCCGTTCATGCTCTGTCTCTCTCTGTCCCAAAAATAAATAAAAAACGTTGAAAAAAAAATTAAAAAAAAAAAAAAAAGTTTTAACTAAGCTTATTTTTTAATGTTTATTTATTTATTTAGAGAAAGAGCAAGGGAGAGGCAGAGAGAGAGGGATAGAGAATCCCAAGCAGGCTCCGCACTGTAAGCACAAAGCCAGAAGTGATCCCACAAACCGTGAGATGATGACCTGAGTCAAAATCAAGAGCTGGACTCTCAATTGACTGAGCCACCCAGGGGCCCCTCTGACTAAATTATTGAAGTAAATAATCAATTCATCTTTTTCTTCTAAAACATGAATTCAGAGAGCATGGATTCCTCAGTTAATTAAAGCTTCTGGTGAAAAGATTTTTCACTGTATTACATTGTCTTTCTAGAGCAATAATTCAAATAATCTCAGAGTTTCCCTCTTGCAGATTGTAGTCCCCTTTCCAAATCTCTCTCAAGCTAAATGCTTAGCTTAGGATGTCTTCTTATCCCCCTCCCATTCCATCAGTTACTTTCATGCCTTCAGCTCCTAAAACGGCCTTAATCAATGGAACCTTCTCTGGCTGAATATAAGTGTGAAAGGTAGATGTGACATAAATGCCCATTCCTCTGCCACACTGTAAACTTCTGATCTGACCAGTTACATGCCCTTTGATTGCCCCTGCTTATACATATGGCAGTCATTACCTTAACCATTTTTTTTTTTAGTATCTGGGCTAACATTGCTCAGAGGTGCATATAGAAGTCTTCCTAAATTTCTCGGTTAGTAGCTGTCATTTGATAGGAACAGCCTTTTGAATTCTCTATAATGCAAAATGGACAATTCTTTTCAATGAGGAGGATATGCAATAAAAGTGGTCTTTACTCCCTGACATGTTCAATAATGGATTTTCACATGATTATATTTTTTATTTTATTTTATTTTATTTTTTAAAATATAATTTATTGTCAAATTTGTTCCATGTAACATCCAATGCTCATCCCAAAAAGTACCCTCCTCCATGCCCATCACCCACTTTCCCCTCTCCC